AGGTCATGTTTTGATCTTCGATTGGTCTCACGCAGTCAAGTGATGCGAAACCTGACGCCTGACCCTGCGTTTCCGGTCTGACACATTTGCGTGCGAATGAATGGAAGTATATGGGAGGAAAAGCCCAGTGTGACTATAGCTTCGCTAGGCAGTCTAGAAACATCCTTGCAGGTGTGTTGAAGCAAGTTGGAGCTAAAATCTGCAGGACACCGGCCCTCCAGGACCGAGTTTGGACACCCCTGGTTTAATGTGATATTTAACGGCTTAACTAGGTTAATTAGGTTAACTAGGCAGGTTAGGGTAATTAGGCAAGTTATTGTATAATGATGGTTTGTGCTTTAGTCTATCGAAAACAAACAGAGCTTAAAGGGGCTAATAATATTAATCTTAAAATGGCTCATAAAAAAAATTAAAACTGCTTTTATTCTAACCGGAATTAAGCAACTGTGACTTTTTCCAGAAGAAAAAATATTATCAGACATACTGTGAAAAATTTCCTTGCTCTGTTAAACATCCTTTGATTAAGAAGAAAAATCAATAATAATAAAGCTAATAATTCTGACTTCAACTGAATATATTAATAAATATTATTATCATCAATCACTATTGACCATGGTTTACATTAAAAAATATTCTTTACTGAACAAATATAAGTCACCGTCATCTTGGATGACCTGAGGGTGAGTTAAAGGGATAGTTCACCCAAAAAGTAAATTACAATTTTTTTTTAAACTTATAATTAACTTTAATTTAAGGTGAAAATGTACTCACTATTTACTCACCATCAAGTGGTTCCAAACATTTATGAGTTCCTTTACCTTTCATTCAACAAAAAAACAAGATATTTAGTTAAAAGCCTGTAACTGTTGACTTCCATAGCAGAAAAACACAAATACAACATAATTCAATGGTTACCGGTTTCTAAACATTTTTCAAAACATCTTATTTTGTGAAGAGAAGAAAAAAACAAGAAAGAAATTCAAACAGGCTTTAAACAAGAGACGAATGAGAACGTGAAAACAGATACTTCAGTTCTGGGTGAACTGCCCCTTTAAATCAGTTTGAAGCACAGCATCAGTGAGACAGGAAGAGGAGAGGCTGAAATCAGGCAGGTTTCACAGTTCTGGAGGTGAAATTTGGAGGAGAGCATATGGATGAAGGCAAGGCACGTGTGCGAATGGCTTTCTAGCGTGTTGAAGAGACCTGAGAGGCACTGAGCCATTCTGAAATACTGACTACAGGGGAGATTCATGCAACTGTAAGTACACTGTAAAAAAAAAAAGTTGACTCAACTTAAAATTGCAAGACTAAATTTAAGTTGAGTCGAATCAAAAAAGCTGTGCAGCAAGTTGCCTTACAACTTTAAGTTGTCAACTTTTTTGACTCAACTTTTAACCCAAGTACTGCACTGCACTCAACTCAAAAAAAAACTCCTGACCTTATAATTTTAAGTTGAGTCAACTTTATTGACTCAAGTTTTTAACCAGTACTGCAACTGACTCGATTTAGGTTGAGTCGACTCATAAAAGCTGTGCACAAACTTGCCTAACAATTTTTTTTATTTGACTTTTAACACAAGTACTGCAACTTTGACTCGACAAGTTGAGTCAATTAAAAAAACTCTGCAGCAAGTTGTCTTACAATTTTAAGCTGAGTCAACTTTTTCACTCAACTTTTAGCCCAAGTACTTGGCAGCAAGTTGCCTTGGTATTGTTTTTTTGACTTAACTTTTAACCCAAGTGCTGCACTTGACTTGATTTAACTAGAGTTAACTCAAAAAAGCTCAAACTTCTCTAACAATTTTGAGTCAACTTTTTTGACTCAACTTTTAACCCAGGTACTGCACTTAACTCAAGTTTAGCTGAGTCAATTTAAAAACTCTGCAGCAAGTTGCCTTAGTATTTTAAGTTGAGTCAACTTAAAAAACTCTGCAGCAAGTAGTTCATTTTAAGTTGAGTCGTTTTAACAGTCTGCATCTGTACTGACCACAATCAGAAGCGTCAATAGAAGAAAAAAATACAGCGACTCTGTCTCAAGTATATAGGACAACACAACAACATAGAGCGCACATTCACTTAAACACAGAAACAAACATGAGGCAATACAGCGATCTCAAACTGTTAAATAAAGCACATTCAAAGAAGACGCGTGTCATTTCTGCAGCAACAGACGCACAAAACCTTTCACTAGTGCTACACAGTATGCTAGTGTAGTTAAAGCATCAAACAGCTAACTTTAATCCACTAACACACACAAAAAAGTGGGCAGTTTTATTTTGGGACAGTAAAATCAATAGTTTTATAATAAATAAGGCTGGGTGATATGAACAATAAAGGTGAAAGTTGTATCCATTTAAATAATATTTGATAAAGTATATATTTAATATATTCACAGCGTTACTTTTGATTTTGTTGTCAGTCTAAAAAACATTAAGCAACATCACAACCATTTAGGTATTTATGTTAGGTTTCTTTATGCGTGTCTTTTTAATGATAAAATAATAGCCTCCGTTTGAATTTTCTTTTCTTTATTTAAATATTTCCCAAATGATGTTTAACAGAGCAAAGGAATTTTCACAGTATGTCTGATAAGATTTTTTCTTCAGGAGAAAGTCTTTTTTGTTTTATTTCGGCTATAATAAAAGAGGGTTTTAATTTTTTAAACACCCTTTTAAAATCAATATCATTAGCCCCTTTAATTTTTATTTTTTCAATAGTCTACAGAACAAACCATCATTATACAATAACTTGCCTAATTACCCTAACCTGTCTAGTGAACCTAATTACCCTAGTTAAGCCTTTAAATGTCACTTTAAGCTGTTTAGAAGTGTCTTGAAAAATATGTAGTAAAATATTATGTGCTGTCATCATGGCAAAGATAAAATAAAACAGTTATTAGAAATGAGTTATTAAAACTATTATGTTTAGAAATGTGCTGAAGAAATCTTCTCTCCGTTAAACAGAAATTGAGGAAAAAAATAAACAGGGGCGCTAATTATTCTGACTTCAACTGTTTATACATATATACACATACTCATGCAAAATAAGATATTTGAATGTTTTAAAGAATATTATACATGTACATACACTAATGTTTAAAAGCATAAATATTTTTCAAGGTTTAAATCCTTTTTAACCAAAAATACAGTAAATATTGTTACATTTTAAAATAATGATTAGATTATAATGTCACACTTTTTATTTTGATGGTATGTTTGTTAAATTGCATCTACATGCCAACTAATTCTCATTAGATTATAAGTAGACTGTTGGAGTTTGGGTTAGTGTAAGGTGACTTGTACTTATTCAGTTTCTTATAGTCAGTTAATGTCAGTTTAGCAGCAGTATCAACAGATATTAAGCAGACAATCTACTAATACTCAAATGCATTATCAAAATAAAGTGTTACCGATTATAATTTCTTGTCCATTTGAATTTGGAGTTGAAGACTAAAGGAATAATTTATCATTTAAAATATTTTCAAATATTTCCCAAGTGCTTTTTAACACAGAGAAGATTTTTTTTAATACATTTTTTAATATAATTTTAATAGCTAATTTCTAATAACTAATTTATTTTGTCTGTCATGATGACAATTCATACAATTTTACTAGTTATTTTCCAAAATACTAGTAAGTGCAATTCAAGATATTGACTAGATTAAATTTGCAAGTTAAGTTAACTAAGCAAATCACTGGACGACAGTGGTTTGTGATTTTGCAAGGGAATAACTATGCAGTTTTTACAATATTTTATTATTCCAGCCAAACTAAAGTAATAAGACTTTGTCTAGAGAAAACAATAGCCCCTTTCACACATACAGACCTTTACGGAAAATTACCAGCAATTTTCCGGAAAGGTGTGTATGTGTGAACAGGCCCTTTTTGAAAATACCAGTAAATTCATTCCAGCTATTTTCTGGAAAGAGAAGTTGTAAGATTACCGGTAATTAGCTGGAATGCTGCGCTGTGTGAACGCAGAAGGAAAAGTGCCGGAAAGAGCGCGTACACGTGTAGAACGTGTTGACGTAAAACGTCTACTTTAGCCAATCAGAACACTCAGACGCATTCACATCCGAGTGGTTTGTGAGAACAAAAGCCTGTGAATGTTTTCCCAGACACATTTAGCTGCTATAAGTTAGTCAGATAACATTTATACGTTTATTCTTAATGCCAACTGTGTAAATTATTATCAATAAAACGCTAATGATAAGCCATTGTTCGTTTACCTTCAAGCTCTGCCGCGTGTGCATGTAAAGCAGCTGGTGAATGCCAGCACACACATATTATAAACATCTTGACATGCGAAAGTGTTTCTCCATGCTTTCAACAAAGTTGTTCACAACACTGATCCATCCACAGATGTTGTGATGTAGTCAAAAAAGCGCAGCCGTTTAGAGGTCATTTCTGGTTAATGATGTCAGAATTTACCGGTATTTTGGAATGGATGTGTGAACGCTCTTTTCTGGAAAAAATCCGTAACATCCTCGCCTGTGTGAACAGCGCTTTTTTGGATTTAACATTAAAGTCGTTCCAGGAAATTTTCCAGATATTTACCGGTATCACTGTGTGAAAGGGGCTAATAATTAATAGGAAAAACTGTGAAAAAACACCGTGGTCTGTTAAAAAGCACTTGTGAAAACAAACACAGTAGAGCTAATAATTTTGTCTTCAAACTAAACTGAAAGCATGGTTCATTTCTGTGTGAAAAAGCTGAATTTTCAGCATCATTTCTCCAGTGTTGTGTCATATAATCCTTCAGAAATCAGTGTTTAATTCAGTGAATATATGCTCTAGAAAATCTTCAGAAAAACATTGTGTCCACAACTTTTTACTTATCAATAACCAAAGATCTTTAAATGTATTTAGTTGTTTTAAATTCAGTGTATGCACTGTTGCTGATTGTTAAACAGAAATGACACACACTCCAGCTTTAAATGCAAGACTTTGGATGTAGCTCCAAACTAAACACATCACGACATTCAGGCTTTGACAACATTTGGTCCATCTTTTTATATCCAGTGAGTGAAACAGGTTAGGCGCAGCAGATTCACCGCCTAACCAATGTTAATCACAGCTCCAGAATAGGCACAAAGTTCAAGTATGTTCAGGCAGTACGGCGTAAACACAACACCAACTGACCCTGACAAACAACTTGAAGTAAAAGTTGTAAACAATTGTTAATATCAATGAAATAAATAGCTACTTCTTCTTCACTTGATTACCTTTGTCGCCCACTTCCTTCTCATGCTTGTCCTTCTCGTATTTATTTTTGGCGTTCTCCGTGATACTACTGTAGGACGGCGGAGAGGACGTTGCTGCCGTTGCGTCCGAGTCTTCATTGCACATATCTTTATCCATCGACTGATTACTCGGCACTTTCCCATTCTGATGCTTGTTTTTTTTCTTGAAATTGCGAACTTTCTTCATGCTATCTCGGACTAAGTGCTTCCTGAAGGCTCTCTGGATGACCGCAGCAGACATATCTTCGTGTTTTCTGCGCAATGTTGTCGTAATGGGCTCGTAAGAAGATTTCGACGGGTTGGATTGCATGAATCGGTCCTCCATTTGTCCATGAAGCATATCCATCTCACCACCTTCCCCGAGAACGCGTTTGGTGAAGGCGAATAAAATATCCAAACAATGGATTCGATCTCCAGTCACCATTGGCAAATCCATAGACATCAGCTGAAACCGGTTGGGTTTTGGTATCCGCAAAGGAGGATCTAGAGAATCGGCGAAGTCTGACAACTTACCGTATTCCATGAATTGCGTCGCTTTGGGGTCGAATTTCTCCCAAACTTCATAAAACCTGTCGAAATCGTCTTCGCTCAACGGTTCGGCACTCTCTTCAGTGGCTACGCTAAAGTTCTCCAGGATAACAGCGATGTACATGTTTACTACAATGAGAAAGCATATGATGATGTAGCTTACGAAGAAGAAAATGCCGATGGACGGATTCCCGCAGTCGCCTACGACCGAACTTCCAGTGAAGTTTTTCGTCGGATCACAGTCTGGAGGTTTGCTGTTTAGCATAGGCGCTAACAGGCCGTCCCAGCCCCCCGATGTGGTTATCTGAAACAAACAGAGCATGCTGTTGGGAAAGGTTTCGAAGTTGAACATGTCGTCGATGCCGGCCGTTTTTTTGACGTAGGCAAAGTTGGACATGCCGAAGATGGCGTAGATGAACATCACGAGGAACAGAAGGAGGCCGATGTTGAAAAGGGCAGGAAGGGACATCATCAACGCGAACAGAAGGGTCCGTATGCCTTTGGCGCTTCGAATGAGGCGTAGGACGCGGCCGATCCGGGCCAGGCGAATAACACGAAACAAGGTGGGCGAGACGAAGTACTTCTTGATGACTTCTGTTAGAGACATGCCTGAAACAACAAGATATATACTGGTTATACTAGGACTGTGGATTAAATTAATTACTAGGATTATCAAAAAATTTTGTTCACTTGTTGGATTTTGCTTATTAGCAGGGGTTGGTGTTACTAGCATGTTTCCAGAATGAATTTGCATGTTTCTAACATGTTTTTAGTATGAATAAGCATGTTTTAACATAAATTTAGCATGAATTTGAATGCTGTTATTATGATCTTAGTAGGCTATGAGTAACCATGTTGCTAGCATGTTTGTAATATTGATTAGTATGTTGTTAACATGTTTCCAGTATGAATTAGCATGTTGCTAACATGTTTCAATTATGAATAAGCATGTTTTAGTGTGAATTAGCATGTTTTAACAAATTTAGCATGGATTAGAGTGCTGGTATTATGATCTTAGTAGGCTATGAGTTACCATGTTGCTAGCATGGTTTTAATATTGATTTGCATGTTGTTAGGATATTTACAGAATGAATTAGCATGCTTCTAAAATACTGCTTTATGACTGCGGTTAGAAACATGCCTAAAATTACAAGATATATACTGATTATACTGGGCATGTGAATTATATTTATTACTAGGATTATCAAAAAATTGTGTTCATTTGTTGGACTTCACTTATCACCATGAATTGCCGTTATTAGCATGTTTCTAAAATTAATTAAAATGTTGCTAAAATGTTTCTAGTATGAATTGGCATGTTTTTATTGTAAATTAGCATGGTTTAACATAATTTAGAATGAATTAGCATGTTGCTAGCAAGTTTTTATTCTTGATTTGCATGTTGTTTGCATGTTTTCAGAATGTACTGACATGTTGCTAACATGTTGTTAGTATGAATTAGCATGTTTTAGTGTGAATTAGCATGTTTTAACAAATGTAATATGAATTAGCATGTTAAAATGGTATTAGTAGGCTATGAGTTACCATATTGCGAGCGTGTTTTCAATTTCATTAGCATGTTGTTAGCAAGTTTACAATGTGAATTAGCATGTTGCTAAAGTACTTCTTTATGACTTCTGTTCGAAACATGCCTAATATGGCAAGATATATACTGGTTATACTGGGGATATGGATTATACTTATTACTAGGATTATCAAAAAATTGTGTTCACTTGTGGGACTCAGTTTATTAGCACAAACTGGTGATATTAACATGTTTTCAGAATGAGTTAGCATGTTGCTAACATGTTTCTAATATGAATAAGCATGTTTTAGTGTAAATTTGCATGTTTTAACATACATTTTGTATTGATTAGCATGTTGTTAATATGATTTTTGTATGAATTACTATGTTGCTAGCAAGTTTTAAATATTGATTAGCATATTGTTGGAAGGTTTTAGAACAAATTAACATTTTGCTAACATGTTTATAGTATGAATTAGCATGTTTTAGTGTAAATTAGCATGTATTAAGAAATTTAATATGAATTAGCATGTAAAAATGGTTTTAGGAGGCTATCAGTTACCATGTTGCTAGCATGTTTGTAATATTGGTTAGTATGTTGTTAGCATGTTTCCAGTATGAATTAGCATGTTGCTAAAGTAATTCTTGATGACTTATGTTAGTAAAATGCCGAGTATGACAAGATTCCTACAGATTATACTGGAGATGTGAATTATATTTATTACTAGTATTATCAAAAAATTGCGTTCACTTGTGGGATTTAGTTTATTAGCACAAACTGGTGACATTAGCATGTTTCCAGAATTAATTAGCATGTTGCTAACATGTTTGTAGTATGAATAAGCATGTTTTAGTGTGACTTAGCATGTTTTAACAAATTTAGTAAGAATTAGCATGATGTCAATATGATCCTAGTAGGCTATGAGTTACCATGTTACTAGCATGTTTTTATTATTAATTAACATGTTGTTAGCATGTTCCCAGTATGAATTAGCATGTTTCTAAAATATTGCTTTATGACTGTGGGTAGAAACATGCCTAAAATTACAAGATATATACTGATTATACTGGGGATGTGGATTATATTCATTACTAGGATTATCACATAAATCCTTAGCTTTTTTCCCTTGGTGGGATTTAGCTTATTAGCATGAATTGGTGTTATTAGCATGTTTTCAGAATGAACACATTGGTCACATGTTTCTAGTATGAATTAGCATGTTTTAGTGTGAACTAGTATGTTTTAACATACATTTTGTATAAATTAGCATGCTGTTAGCATGATTTTGGTAAGAATTACCATGTTGCTAGCATGTTTTTAATACAGATTAGCATGTTGTTAGCATGTTTCCAGTAAGAATTAGCATGTTGCTAAAGTACTGCTCGATGACTTCTGTTAGAGACATGCCTGCATACATACATAATAAGTTTCCAGTCATTTCTCAAATATTTCTTAAATTATGTTTAACAGAGCAAGGAATTTTTCACAGTATTTCCTGTAGTATTTTTTTCTTCTGGAGAAAGAAACTATTATGTTTAGAAATGTGTTCAAACAGATATTGGGAGAAAAAATATATAGGGGGGCTAATAAAACAGACTAATAATTGACTGTTAATTAAGGGTCAATATCTCGTCTTGCTGCAGATCTTACCAACTATAGACAGGATGACCACGATAAAGTCAAACACATTCCAGCCAACGGTGAAGAAGTAATGGCGCAGAGCGATCATCTTCAGGACGCATTCGGTGGTGAAGAGCACAATGAAAATGACATTGATCCAGTACAGCGCACGGGTCATTTCAATCGACTGATCCTCCGTCTCCAGCATCATAGTGACCATGTTGAGCCAGATCAGGACCATAATGAAAATGTCAAAGGCCTGTTTGGTTACGAGGTCAAAGATGAGTCCTTGAATCTTGTTCTGAAATGAATGAGGAAATGTAAGAGCCGTTCACTTATACAGAAGACATTTGCAAACAAGAAAAGAATGCTTTAAAGGCACAATATGCATTATTTGTTTATTTAACTTTTGTGTGCTGTTGGAGATGGGGATTTCACCCACTCTGGGGTCATTTAAAGTCTAAGGGCTCTATTTTAAAGTGCATGGCGCAAAAGCATTAAGGTTATGTCTGAATCCACTTCAGCTATTTTAAGGACAGATAAATGTTCTGCAGGGTTTAGATCATCCATCAACATGATTTCTGCAGTCTCATATAGTAGGATGTAATGAAGACCACAATTCCCATGATACAACACTTAGTCACAGAGTCATCAGACAATGCTTTTGTTTGTTGCAAATACACACCCTCTAGTGGCAAAAATTACAGACTGCGCCTTTAAAGGAAGCAATATCATACATTTAAGCTCTATTTAAAGGGATAGTTCACCCAAAATGAAAATTCTGTCATCATTTACTAACAGGGTACATAAACATTTTTAATATTAAAATTCAGCAACTTTTCAGAGACTTTTCCAGAACTTTTAAGTACATTTTCATGACGCAATGTTTCATGTAATCTTTACATATGCATGGTAAATAATAAGAAAATATAGAAAATATATCTTATATCTATGTAGAACTGATTTTAATAATGCTCACACAGCACTAACAATGTGAGAGCAAGTTTTGGGCCAAGGACAGAAAAGAAGTCAACTAACCTATATTCAAGTTAGGGCTGCACTATATATCGTTTCACCATCGATATCACAATGTGTGCATCCCGCAATACTCACATCACAGGATATGCAATGCTGGGATTATAGTTTAATATAGAGTTAATAATCCAAGGGCGTAGGCTTGCACTTGACATTGCTGCAGATGGGTGAATCAAACAATATATTTATATACACACACACACACACGTTGGTATTATTTTTTAACTGCTATAAAAATACGTTAATAATTAATCCTCTCTTTGTACAAATTATTAAGTTTTAGGCCTGTAGACAAGGGGGCTTCAGGTGGTTCAAAAGACCAAAAATGGATTATTATTATTCATTCATTTTCTGCCGCTTTTCCGGCCGGGTCGCGGGGGCAGCAGTCTTAGGAGAGAACCACAGACTTCCCTCTCCCCAGACACTTCCTCCAGCTCCTCCGGGGGGTTCACGAGGCGTTCCCAGGCCAGCCGAGAGACATAGTCCCTCCAGCGTGTCCTGGGTCTTCCCAGAGGCCTCCTCCCGGTGGGACATGCCTGGAACACCTCCCTAGGTAGGCGTCCAGGAGGCATCTAAAACAGATGCCCGAGCCACCTCAGCTGACTTCTCTCGATGTGGAGGAGCAGCGGCTCTAGCTCCTTTCGGGTGTCAGAGCTCCTCATCCTGTCTATAAGGGTGTGCCCTGCCACCCTTCGAGCAAAACTCATTTCGGCTGCTTGTATCGGAGATCTTGTCCTTTCGGTCATGACCCAAAGCTCATGACCATAGGTGAGAGTAGGAACACAGATTGACCGGTAAATTGAGAGCTTTACCTTTCAGCTCAGGTACTTCTTCACCACAACGGACCGGTACATTGACCACATTACTGCTGCCGCTGCACCAATCCGCCTGTCAATCTCACGTTCTATCCTTCCCTCACTCGTGAACAAAACCCCGAGATACTTGAACTCCTCCACCTGGGGTAAAGACTTTCCTCCAACCAGAAGATGGCAAACCACCTTATTCCAGTGGAGCACCATGGCCTCGGACTCGGAGGTGCTGATTCTCATTATTTCTTTTTTCTTTATATTATTTAAGTGGTCAACTTCTGACTACGGAACGTTGAATGTTATTATTATATTAAATGCACACTTAAAATAGTATGGTAAGCGATTTGACAAAATAGCTGGAAATATTTTTTGGTACATCAAAAATCTGAGGATATGATAACCATCCGACAAGATAATCCAGCAAAAATTAGCTCTTAAAATGTCACTTAAACGCAATATTTACACCTCGTAATAAATAGAAATTCAGGCAAATAACTGCAAAAAGGTTCGGTTTTTAAGAAATAAAAAAGGTTATTAACTGATAAAGGGATAGTTTAATAAAGATTTCCGTTTATTTTAGCCACTTTGCAAATGAAACATGTCTCATATATCAATACTGTGCCTATACACAGGCTGCATTTTTTCTGACCAATTTTTTCTGCACATGCTACTCTGAAAGATTAGGAGAACTGGCCAGGATCATATACTTTACGTTAGCTGGTTATTCTGCAGTTAGTTTTCAGGGCATATTATTCACAGACTATATCAGTCTGCTACTATACAGCGATAGACTGTGCGTTATTAACAGCATTATCTTGATGGACTCATTCAGTAGCGAAATTGTGTTTACAGTATGTGACTGACACTTTTGTTGGAAAAAAGCACCTTATGTCAACTTTTTTCAATCTTCAAACCTCAATCTCCATGACTTTCCCAAAACATTTTGGGCTTATTTGGCCTGGAAAATTCCATGAGCTTTCCAGGTTTTCCGGAATCGTACGAACCCTGGTATTTGTTTTTCCAACTATGGATGTCAATGGTTACAGGTTTTTATGTTTGGGTGAACTATCTCTTTAATGCAGAAGTGCTTTATAGTCCACATGCACAGAAAAATCACTTTAGTGGAATAAAAGTGAAAGCTAAAAGAAAGGGAAATAAAAAGAGCAGCTCGGACATTTCAGATCCAAAAGACAATAAACAGTTCTGGAGTGACATGATGAAAATAAAGATATTTTTGCTTACTTTTGGTCTTGGAATGGGTTTTTGGGGTTTCTTTGAGCCTAGTTTCTTCATGGCGTTGTAATATTTCTTCTGTTCTTCTGTCATGAAAATATCCTGACCCCCAAAGTAAAAGAAGACAACAGAAAAGATCATTTTTGGGTATAAAAAACAAGCATAGATTTTTGTCTGATAAAAAAGTAGTACAGTTGGAGACAGATTTATTAATGATTTTTTATTATTGTTTTATATATATATATATATATATATATATACCAGGGGTGGCCAACCCTGTTCCTGGAGAGCCACCTTCCTGCAGATTTCAGTTGCAACCCATATCAAACACACCTGCCTGTAATTATCACGTGGTGTTCAGGTCCTAATTAATTGGTTCAGGTGTGTTTGACTTGGGTAGCAACTGAAATCTGCAGGAAGGTGGCTCTCCAGGAACAGGGTTGGCCACCCCTGATATATACACTACCTGACAAAAGTCTGTCGCCTATCCAAGTTTTAGGAACAGCAAACAATAACTTCTGATCATTTGGTATCAGAAGTGTCTCAAAGAAAGGCAAAGGCCTCTAGATTATGCTTATTTTACCAATTCAATTCAATTCAATTCTTCTTTATTAGTATAGCACTTTTACAATGTAGATTGTGTCAAAGCAACTTCACATAAAATATCATAGTAAATTGAAACAGTGTAGTTCAGATTTTAAAGTTTAAGTTCAATTAAGTTTAGCTCAGTTCAGTGTGGTGTAATAATCACTAGTGAGAGTCCAAACACTGAAGAGCAAATCCATCGATGCGTAGCTCTACAGATCCAGAACCATGCGAGCCAGTGGCGACAGCAGTAAGGAAAAAACTTCACCAATTGGTGGAACTGAAGAAAAAAAACCTCGAGAACCAGGCACAGACGGGCACGACCATTTCTCCTATGGCCAAAGGTCTTGTGCAGAGCTGCAGTTTAGGTGCCAAAGGCTGGAATCTGGACCTCAGCCAAGACTCGTCAGTCCCTGGAGCGTCACAGGAATCAATCTCATGCTCTCCACTCCTCCATGACCTCCACAATAAAATATGATCACACCTTGATTTTTAATGATTTAATTAAGACAGTAGGGTCTGACTTTGATTAGACAAAAGTCTTGTCACTGAACAAAAGTAATGTCCAGTATAGAATATAAAGTCATGCTGCAGTGGAAACAGAATGACTATTGTGACTGACTCCATCATGAGCTTGGAGGACTGCATCCATACATCTCTGCACTGACTCAAATCACCTATTAATAAAGTCATCTGAAATGGCAAAGAAAGCGTTCTTGCAGGACTCCCAGAGTTCATCAAGATTCTTTGGGTTCATCTTCAATGCCTAATCCATCATCTTCCCCCAGACATGCTCAATAATGTTCAACTCTGGTGACTGAGCTGGCCAATCCTGGAGCCTTCTTTGCTTTCAGGAGCTTTGATGTGGAGGCTGCAGTATGAGAAGGAGCGCTATCCTGCTGAAGAATTTGCCCTCTGCTGTGGTTTGTAATGTAATAGGCAGCACAAATGTCTTGATACCTCAGGCTGTTGATGTTGCCATCCACTCTGCAGATCTCTCACACGCCCCCATACTGAATGTAACCCCAAACCATGATTTGTCCTTCACCACACTTGACTGATTTCTGTGAGAATCTTGGGTCCATGCGGGTTCCAGTAGGTCTTCTGCAGTATTTGTGATGATTGGGATGCAGCTCAACAGATGATTTATCACAAAAATCGACCATCTGCCACTTTTCCAGTTGATCAACTAGAAGTCAAGTTATTATTTGTTGCTCTTACAACTGCAATCGACGACAAGACTTTTGTCAGATAGTGTATATATTTTTTTGCATTATTCCAGCCAAAATAAAAGAAATAAGACTTAGAAAAGCTAAATATGAAATACTGTAAACACCTTTTCTTTGCTCTGTTAAGCAACACATTGGAAATAAATTCAAATGAAAAGAATACAAATTTCACAGGAAAGATAATGAGTTTAATTGGAAAAATTAGATTAAAATGATTTTAATTCAACTGTACTTTGCATGTATTTGAAGAGGCAGACAACAAACTAAAATTAGAAAACCATCTAAAGTCAACCTTAGTCTGAAAATATTATACATATTACAAATAGTATAATCAAGCTTATATGACTCGGTGTAAATACTTATCTTTTTCTTCTGCTGATTGAAGTTGTCAATGATGACGCCAATGAAGAGGTTTAATGTGAAGAAGGCTCCAAGGATGATGAAGATGACAAAATAGAGGTACATGTACAGATTCACCTCATACTCCGGCTGTTCTTCTGGCTGTAGGCATATATAAAGGATACAATGTGATTCAGTAATATTTATCATTCAATTGGGTTCATCTATAATTAAAAACAGAAGACTTACATTGCGAGAGTCTACCGCTGCATACATAATAGGCATCCACCCTTTAAATGTTGCCTGAAATAAAATAAATAAATTACTTGTTATTATTTTTGAGACTATGTATTATTTATAATCAACTAAAATAAAAATAAAATAACTAGTTCATTCATTCATTTTCTTGTCGGCTTAGTCCCTTTATTAATCCGGGGTCGCCACAGCAGAATGAACTGCCAACTTATCCAGCACATTTCTAAGCAGTGGATGCCCTTCCAGCCGCAACCCATCACTGGGAAACATCCACACAGATTCACATCCACACAGATTCACATACACACACACACACACACACACACACACACACACACACACACACACACACACACACACACACACACACACACACACTATGGACAATTTAGCTTGCTCAATTCACCTGTACGGCATGTCACATGGTCAAGAAAGATACAAAATAGGTGGTAAACTCAAGCTCTGTCTCTTTTCCTGGCCGGTCTTTTCCTGCTTTGCTCCTCTCCTCCTCTGGAGAGTCTATCTTCTCTGACTCTACTGCAATCAGGCTAACTTCTGGGCCTGCTCTCTTTGTCTCTCCCTCACCCTGTGTCTCTCCTTCTACCTCTGGTAACTTTAATTTTACATTTAGGCTGGGTACAATTTTTATCAAATGTTTTATCATTGCATATTTTATCATTTTATACAGTTATTTGTAATTAATTCAGTTGTAACCATAGATAATTATTGTCATTAAATCACCTCATTTTCAAATACTTGTGAATTACTTTTGATTTAACATCAACATTTAATTATTCCATATTGAAATACAATACAATCACATATTATCAATGCTCTCACACATTTATAGCTAATAATACTGCCCTTATTTCCGTTTTTTGGTATGAGATTGCAGAAGAATGGTTCGACTAGAAATGTACAGATATTTACCATCATGCTGATAACTTTTTAGTCGCTCGGCAGAACTACAGTTCGAACTGCTGTGGTTTAAAACCCATTCTTACAGTTACATTAGAAACACTTCGCATAAGCGGTAATTCGTTTTTTGTAATTTTATGCAAAGATGATTTAATACACTTATACATGCACATAAATGTACATACATTAAAAAAAAATCTAAAGATGAAAAACTTTTAAAGGGCCATGAAACCCCCTCGTTTCAGCAGGGTGTTTTCACACCTCTACTTTGGAAAAAGTCAGAAAAGTGGGCGTGTCCAGCTCTGTTTAGGGGGGAGTGTCGGAGGAACTGAAGTGGGATGGTGTGGGAGTGTGGGCGCGCTGAGTTTTAGAGTCAAAATACACAAACACAGTGGACAAAGTGACTGTGTTTACATGGACATCTGTAGTTGAATTATTTGCCAAATTATTAAATGGTGGACTTTAACTGCAGTTTGGCTCTTTCATTCAGGCCCCTCGCGACAAACGGATATTTGATTCGAGGAACTGCTCTAAGCGTGTATTTTTCAATCAATGTTTAATACCGCACGGTGAATGAGAGAAAAAAAAAATTCTGCATTTCCCGGAAACTTAGATGCACATGGCAGGTAGCGTCAGAAAGCCGCGTGTATTATTCCGGTCACTAAATCCGGTGAAAATCCTACACGAGGTTAAAGTTTGGTTGTAGTGCTAACATGTTTACACTCGGTGCAATAGTTTGTTCGATACGAACAATTCTCTGAAAAACTGAATAAACAAAGAGCACTGTTCGCTCGCTCACCAAATCTGTAGAGACAGGACAATCACCAGCAACTAGAGCCACGTCTTTATTAAAAGGAGACTACAAGCGAATCCGGATCCCAGCGTTTTCAGATGAGAACAGCTCTCAGGTAAACAATAATCCTCCTTAGACACGTAAGTTATTGTGGTCGGGCGTTGCGTACACTGTTAATCCATGCGCGAGTCTGAGCTCTCACAGAGAGAAAATGAAAACGAAACTTAACTGCAGCAAACTATAAAAGCAACACTTCACGCTTGTTTTGCCAACACAACGTGGCGTCTCTGTCGTCTAAACACTGTGACAGTAATGAATATTAATGAAGTTGCATAATAGAGCGCGCTGATTGGTTTGAACCAAGCTTTACTCATGCATTAATGCATCACACTGTAAGACGTAATAAGACACACTCTGGCACAGACGTCCAGTCTGCACGCCGGAATACACGCTATTATGTCATGGCCGTGACGCAGCTTCAAAAATTCGTTTTAAACCGGAAGTACGAATTTGCTTAAAATAGCGCAAAAACAACCAATTTATACTTTTTAGTGAAATATAGGTGTCCTAATAGTGTTTTTAGCAGTGTGGGACACATATACGACTGTCAACAGCTCAAAAAATGGGTTTTGGTGTTTCGTGACCCTTTAAGGATTTAATATGCTGATGACTGTTAAACGCGTCATAACAGTCTTGTGAAAAGAGTCCTTGTGAAAAATTACTCCCAATAAAAAATCTCCCATATTTATTGGCCCACCAATTACTGAGGAAAGATCCTTACCACTTGCAGCAGGGCCAGGTATCCATTCCCAACATTGTCAAAGTTAATGATCACATTTCTCCAGCGGACTCCTTTCCCCATTCTTTCACAGTCTGTCTTGTTATAGACCTCTGAGACAGGCAGGCGCTGCTCCGTGGTTATGTTTATACATTCAGAAAACTTCCCAGCGAAGAAGTTGACACCCACAATGCTGAAAATGAGCCAGAAGATGAGGCAGACGAGCAGGACGTTCATGATGGAGGGAATGGCGCCCAGAAGAGCGTTCACAACCACCTGTGGGCATATGAACATCACACACTTACAATGTCGTACCATTATAACATAAGCACTTTGCTTTACAGCTCAAATACAGTCAAAATTATTAGCCCTCCTGTGAATTTCTTATTCAAATATTTCACAAATGATGTTTAACAGAGCAAGGAATTTTTCACAGTATTTCCTACAATATTTTTTATTATTATATAACTACGCCTTTAAAATGTTACTTCAAGCTGAATAGACAAAATAAATAAATTATTAGAGAGTTATTAAATCTATTATGTTTAGAAATGTGTTGAAAAAATAATCTCTCCTTTAAACAAAAAATGGGGAAAAATATACACGGTGGGTTAATAATTCAGCTGTATTTAATTTGGATTTATTTACAGTACACTAAAAAGCCTCACTAAATCAACTTAAATAAATTACATCAACTTTTTAGAAGAAAGAAAATAAGAAAAGAAGATTTTTCAAATTAAGTGGAAACTAATTAAATATTTTTAATGAATAATAAATTAATAATTAATTTTGTGTAGGCTACTTAATATTGAGGAAAAAGGCCCAATCACACAGGCGAATGTCTGCAGCCACACCTCCGCTTTCAGATGTCTCCGTTTTCCCCTATCCACACTGCATTTTAAAACAACAAAGAAAGAAAGAAAGAAAGAAAGAAAGAAAAGAGACAGAAACAAACAAACAACAGACATAAAATACAAGAAAGAAGGAAAGAAAGGACCGGGAGAAAGCAAAGGAGGAAGAAAAAAGAAAAAGAAAGAAAAGAAAGAAAGAAATAAGAAGAAAAGAAAGAAAGAATGAAAGAAAAAAAGAAAAAGAAAAAAAGAGAGAAAGAAAGAACAGAGAAATCAAAGAAGAAAGAAAGAAAAGAGACAGAGAGAAAAGAGAAAAAGAAAGAAAGAAAAAAACAAGGAAACAGAGAAAGCAAAGGAGAAAGAAAGAAACAGAAAGAAACAAGTAAAAGCAAGAAAGAAAGAAAGAAAGGAAGAAAAAGAAAAAGCAAGCAAGAAAGAAAGAGATGAATGACAGAAAGAAAGAAAGAAAGAAAGAAAGAAAGAAAGAAAGAAAGAAAGAAAGAAAGAAAGAAAGAAAGAAAGAAAGGAAGGAAGGAAGGAAGGAAGGAAAGACAGACTGGAAGAAAAAGAAAGAAACAGGTAAACTGATAAAGCTGATTGATGATTTTCTTTGATTCAAACTGCTCTCATATTCCACCATCAGACTTGCCATTTAAAAGCGTCTGAATTGAATTATGAATAGTGCACAGCGCTGGCGGATTGGGATGAAAAAGCGTGACCTTTAGGATGCATCGTAAAGCCACAGTATTACGGTTTACTGTAAATCAACAAACACAAAGAAAAAAGAAAAAAAAACACACGTGAAGACACTCAGCAGTGAAGTTTCCAGAAAAAAAAATAGGAATCGTGGAGAGGAGAGATCTGCGTTTGCCACGTGAGGGGACGCCGTTGCAACATCACATTTATGGGGAAAACGTAGGCAAGTGTTTGGTCAATAGCTGCACTATCGACCTTTGCTTATTATATAAAGCTGCACATCAATTCTTCCTACAATACCACTTACTGAAACTCATGAATGAAGAGCAGATACAGGATCATGTCACAGTAATGAACCCATCGCATATTTACATTAATGCATTATATTTACATAATACATATTATACATCCAACATAATAGTTGAATTAAAGTGCAGTAGATGATATGCCTAAATGCTACCCGATAACATATCTTTATAAAAACAGTCCCTCCTCCAAGCTTCAAAGCCACGCCTCCTGAAATCACGATTGTGCATGTTAAAGATGACAGAGACCCATTAGATCATGTCATTCGCCAGTTAGAAAACATTATAGAACTTAATAATACTACAATTCAGAGTGTGAAACTGTATTATATCAGCATATTTACAGTTGTGTAGCAAGCAAAACTTGTCATAATGTGCAATATTTCATGCATGCAAAGACTGCAGATCTTACTCTCTCACACGCTTTGTCCTAAAGCGACTACTGAATGCTTAGTGGTTGGCCAGCGGTGTGCAGGAATTACACTTATTACTAAGCCATACTGACATGCTATTTCAAACTGAATATTCAGAGTAAAGGTAAACAATATAGGGAGCGTAAATATATATAATATGCACTTCAATAATGCGACTAAAATCGGCATACTCCACATGTCTTAATTCGATTTCTCTTTAGTTCGATTATTTTCTAAATCTTGTTCAATGAATCAAAAATTGCTGTTTACATGGTAGACTCTTAATTATAGGAGTATTATCTTAGGGTGCTTTCAGACCTACACTTTTGTTTCGGAACCTGTCTCGTTTGCCCAGTTAGCGGGGTTCGTTTGGCATATGTGAAACCACCAATCACTCTCGGATCCGCGCCAAATCCATCGCTCCGAGATCGCTTGAATGAGGTGGTCTCGGCTCGATTGAAACGAACTCTGGAGCGGATTGATTGCAGTGAAAGCAAAAAGAAAAAGAAAAAGAGAAAGCGATTGGATCCGAGCGCGGTTGTATCACTGTGTTTTATGGATACGTAATAGGCATACAGCTATATGAAGAGAGAATTATGAGTAGGGCGGGAAGTTTCGCGAGTCTCCCGGATGCCCGCAAACAAGTGATAATCTCCTGGTAATCTCGCGTCTCCCTCCCGGTCCTCAAATAGGCTACGTCGCGCACTCTTCTCTCCCCCCCTGCCGCATCACTCCTCACTCTTTGGAAACGTCGCGCGCACCTTGTCAAACACCACCAAACCACCACCTCTCCTGACAGCTGAGCGGGACTCTTAAAAATAAACCCTGACACTGACCAATGCAAGGAGAGTTTACTCACACGTGACTTGTTTAAGCTCTTTTGGTCCGATGAGAAACTTTGCAGTGTGAAAGTAAACTGCTCTAGGAGCAAAGAGCAACAATGTAACATTTGTAATCTCTGTTTCGGAACAACTGAATCGATTCACAGGTGTGAAAGCACCCTTAATTGCATTAAAATCGAATTATTGGTGTCCATGTCAACGTAGACATTGTGAGCCAGCCTTAAAAAACTGGTTATTTATAGTGAGTTAGGGATCTTCTGAATGGTGAATCATGTGTTAGTTAATACAGGACCAGCCGTGTTCAATCATAACCACATGCTTAGGGGTAGTAATTTTAAACAGTGCACGAGGGTTAAATATGCAAGTCATTGAACAACAGTGAGTTCTTCTTGCTAATAATATTAACCTAAAATTGTAATAAAAACTTCTTTTATTCCAGCCAAAATAAAATAAGACTTTTCCCAGAAGATTTTTGTTTAATAAAATTTAATTGGTCTGTTAAACTTGGGAAATATTTTAAAAAGAATAAAAATGTCACCGGAGTGCTAAGGATTTTGACTTCAGCTTCAGTATGTATGTGAATTCTATGTTTAAAATTCATGTTTATTTCTAAATATGCATATACAGTAAAACAAAAAGTCCATAAAAAGCGATTTTACCCTCATTCCATCAAAGCGTGAGAGAGCCCGAAGCGGCCGGAAGGCTCTGAGTGTTCGCAGGGATTTGATGGCACTCAGCTCTGAATAGTTGAGGGCGTTGGCCACCAGGCTGATCAGCGAGACCTACACATATACACAGAGGAGATTAGTAGAAAAGCCATTCCCTTCCTTCCTGATCCTTTCACTCTGTCTTCTCAGGGGAAAATGGCCTTTTTAGATGTACAAATGCACCATTCACTCAAGCAGCTGTCATCAAACAATCTAAACTCTCAGAGACACGAGCACTCACGCAGTATAACACACCCAGAAATGATCATTTCCAAGCGCACATGATACTGCTTTCTGGATAATGATGCTTTCGTTGGTATTGTGGAGGATGTCATATGTTGTGGAGTTGATTTGGCTTTCTTTTCACTAAAGCAGATCATGCAAAACATGTCAAGTTCTGAGAAACAAATGCAAACTTAAAGGGTTTGTTCACACAAAAATGTAAATTCTGTTATTAATCGCCCACCCATGTCCTCAAAACCCCTGAGACTTTTGTTCATCTTCAGAAAACAAATGAAGATATTTTAGATGAAATCCTGGAGCTCTCTCAAGCTCCCATTATTTACTCAATTTGCATTTTTGTGTGAACTAATGCTTTAAAGGTGTAAAAGTAATAGCGCAACAGTAGTTTTGAGAAAACACATGGCCTACTATGAACCAATGATTATGGTTGCATGTGCTCACCATAACAGACTGATAAACACTAGTACAGTGTATCAACGCTTGATTAAAGTGGACTGTGTAATTGAAAACTTTTGTGAACCCTCTTCTTCTGAAAAAAACTGTGAACATTTTATAGGTTAATCTTGATCAAATGTGTAACTAATATTGTGCAGGGCAACCTACATCAACAATGACAAAATCCAGCCAGCACCACAGATTGGTGAAGTATTTGGCGAATCCATATGCGACCCATTTTAGCAGCATCTCAAGAATGAAGATGTAGGTGAAAACTTTATCAGCAAACTCCAGTATGGTCTTAACGCTCTTCCTTGTGTCCAGATAAATGTCCTCAAAAGCCTGAAAAACAGATAGAAGATGAAGATCTCTGATCAATAAACTGAAATACAAGCAGAAGTCATTGCAACAAACTAAATTAAAAAAAGCTATCCAAGATAGTGTACGAAAGAAAAAAACTCTATCTATCTATCTATCTATCTATCTATCTATCTATCTATCTATCTATCTATCTATCTATCTATCTATCTGTCTGTCTGTCTGTCTGTCTGTCTGTCTGTCTGTCTGTCTGTCTGTCTGTCTGTCTGTCTGTCTGTCTGTCTGTCTGTCTGTCTGTCTGTCTGTCTGTCTGTCTGTCTATCTATCTATCTATCTATCTATCTATCTATCTATCTATCTGTCTGTCTGTCTGTCTGCATGCCTCTCTACCTATTATCTATCTATCTATCTATCTATCTATCTATCTATCTATCTATCTATCTATCTATCTATCTATCTATCTGTCTGTCTGTCTGTCTGTCTGTCTGTCTGTCTGTCTGTCTGTCTGTCTGTCTGTCTGTCTGTCTGTCTGCATGCCTCTCTACCTATTATCTATCTATCTATCTATCTATCTATCTATCTATCTATCTATCTATCTATCTATCTATCTATCTATCTATCTATCTATCTATCTATCTATCTATCTATCTATCTGTCTGCATGCCTCTCTACCTATTATCTATCTATCTATCTATCTATCTATCTATCTATCTATCTATCTATCTATCTATCTATCTATCTATCTATCTATCTATCTGTCTGTCTGTCTGTCTGTCTGTCTGCATGCCTCTCTACCTATTATCTATCTATCTATCTATCTATCTATCTATCTATCTATCTATCTATCTATCTATCTATCTATCTATCTATCTATCTATCTGTCTGTCTGTCTGTCTGTCTGTCTGTCTGTCTGTCTGTCTGTCTGTCTGTCTGTCTGCATGCCTCTCTACCTATTATCTATCTATCTATCTATCTATCTATCTATCTATCTATCTATCTATCTATCTATCTATCTATCTATCTGTCTGTCTGTCTGTCTGTCTGTCTGTCTGTCTGTCTGTCTGTCTGTCTGTCTGTCTGTCTGTCTGTCTGTCTGTCTGTCTGTCTGTCTGTCTGTCTATCTATCTATCTATCTATCTATCTATCTATCTATCTATCTATCTATCTGTCTGTCTGTCTGTCTGTCTGTCTGCATGCCTCTCTATCTATCTATCTATCTATCTATCTATCTATCTATCTATCTATCTATCTATCTATCTATCTATCTATCTATCTATCTATCTATCTATCTATCTATCTGTCTGTCTGTCTATCTATCTATCTATCTATCTATCTATCTGAGATCCAAGCCCAGTGAAGAGATGATGCCAACCATCAAAGACTTTTAGGACAACACATATATTTCATTAAACATCTATGCATAAACATGTATATACTATATAACCACATGATAACTAGGTTTACATATAATAACTTTAACTGTTAAAAGCTATTGGTTACTAATTAATTAGTTAGAAATATTACTAAAAATAACTAATAAAGTTATGATAACTAATAACCTTAACTTTTCTGATATTGATTTTAATGCAATAATGGGCACCCTTTGTAAAGCTGCTTTGAAACAATAATTATTGTGAAAAGCGCTATACAAATACACACTTCAATCGAATTTAACACAACGTGCATGATTTTCCTCACCAGAGCACCACTGCTCAGCAGGATCATGAAGACGATGAAGGTCTCGAACCAGCTGTGCTCCACTATGTTATAGCAGGTCTGTCTCAGCAGCCACCATTTCTTCCATATGCCCTTTTCTTCGTCCACCTGACAACATCGAAACCTCCGGACACACCCTGAACAATACAACAGCAGACGAAATCCCCTTTACTTACAAAAACAAACCTACTGTAATAGCCATCTTTTTATTTAATATAATTTAGTCATAGTGCTCAAATACATATACTGTACACTAGCTGATCCAAAAAGTCTTGTCACCTATTTAAGTTTTAGGAACAACAAATAACAACTTGACTTCTAGTTGATCATTTTGGTATCAGAAGTGGTTTATATGAAAGGCAAAGGCCTCTAGATTACGCTTATTTTACCAAAATAAAATATGATCATGCCTTGATTTTTAATTATTTAATTAGGGCAGTAAGATCTGACTTTGCTCAGACAAAAGTCTTGTCACTTAACAGAAATAATGTCCAGTATAGAATATAAAGTCATGCTGCAGTGGAAACAGAACGAATATTGTGTCTGACTCCATCATGAGCTTGGAGGACTGCATCCATACATCTCTGCACTGACTCAAATCACTGATTAATAAAGTCATCTGTAATGGCGTTCTTGCAGGACTCTCAGAGTTCATCAAGATTCTTTGGATTCATCTTCAATGCCTAATCCATCATCTTCCCCCAGACATGCTCAATAATGTTCATCTCTGGTGACTGGGCTGGCCAATCCTGGAGCACTGTGACCTTGTTTGCTTTCAGGAGCTTTGATGTGGAGGCTGAAGTATGAGAAGGAGCGCTATCCTGCTGAAGAATCTGCCCTCTGCTGTGGTTTGTGATGTAATGGGCAGCACAAATGTCTTGATACCTCAGGCTGTTGATGTTGCCATCCACGCTGCAGATCTTTTGCACATCCGAAACCATGATACTTCCTTCACCAAACTTGACTGATTTCTATGAGAATCTTGGGTTCATGCAGTTTCCAATAGGTTTTCTGCAGTATTTGTTATGATTGGGATGCAGTTCAACAGATCATTCAGCAGATAAATTCAAATGATCAACTTGAAGTCAAGATATTATTTGTTGCTCTTACAACTGACATTGGCGACAATACTTTTTCTCAGGTAGTGAATAATTATGACCTCAAAATAAATTTCATTTGCCTCTTTAGATGGAAACATAGCGATTGCTTCATAATGTATAACTTTTACAATTTTTTAAACCCACGCCAACACCGGAAGATGATGCAGACTCCACACAGAAATGCCATCTGACCCAGCCGGGACTCAAACCAGGTACTTTCCTGCTGTGACACAACAGCACAAATCACAGAGCCACCGTGTCACCCCTTGAGTAATATTAATTAATCACAATTACTTACTTAATTACTTAATAATTAGTATATAGTTGAGGTTAGACTAAGGATTAGGTTAAGCGTTAGTAACTGTATACACTGTAAAAAATATCTGTAAAATGACAGTTTTTAGTTTCCCAGTGGTGGGTTGCAGCTGGAAGGGCATCCTCTGCGTAAAAATGTGCTGGATAAGTTGGCGTTTCATTACGCTGTGGCGACCCCGGATTAATAAAGGGTCTAAGCCGAAAAGAAAATGAATGAATGAATGAATGAATGACAGTTTTCCGTATTTAGTGATTCATGTTTTTTTTTCACTCATTTTTGCTTGTGAATTGCATTATAGGATCTTTATCTAAGCTTAAGATGTTGAAAAGTTTGAAAAAGGGACTTTTATTAACCTTTTTAAAAGTGAATGGGCCATTTATATGGATGCACCTTAATAAAATGAGAATAGTTGGTGATAGTAACATCCTGTTTGTGGCACATGTACTGTATATGTGTATGTATATGTGAGGGGGCAAACCAGTGGCGTAGCGGACGGGCCCGCAGGGCACGCACCGCGGGGGGGCCCTGTGTGATTAGGGGGCCCCACGTAGTCGCGATTTTCAATAATTGAAAATCCACCGGCAACCGCAATAATCAAACTCTTGGGAACAACTGTGGTCGGAACCAAAGTTCACACGTCTGTGTTCTCTGAACACCTCTCAAGCGGTGGACTACTTCATTCTGATTGCTTGCCGCCAACGTTGCCAACTTAGCGACTTTGTCACTAGATTTAGCGACTTTTCAGACCCCCCTAGCGACTTTTTTGTGTGTTATTGGAGATTTTTTTAGACTGTCATTTGTCCATACTGTACCGTTCCTACTCTTCTCAACGAGCTGCGTGTGATGCCACCGGCCCCTCCCCCACCTCACAGCACTGACAGGTGGCCCAGTCAGTCCTCGTACAGCAGCCTCTCCCACCTGCAGCCCGAGAGCAGATCACCCCTCTGCGTAGCGCGACAAATGATTTAGCACAGGCAGTGTGAAGGTATTTTCCTTCTACAGTCAAACCGATCTACTTCTCCTTTATTTTAACAATTTAATTGGACCGTTTATTCTTTTGTTGTTCACAATCACAGATATTTTAGTGACAGTTTCTGAATTTGTCTGAGTTTATTACATATGAGAGATTACTGCACATTCACTACACATCTATAATGACATACTGTATTCAAACAGCAATACATTTAGTTAAATAAACATGCTTATATAAAGTGTAGTGCAATTATAAATATAAATACCCCTTTATTAACCATAGGCTGTTAAACAAACAGAAACTGTAAAACGTGATGACGTCAGTGATATACAAATTGACGTATGACGTATCCCCCCCCCCCCTCTTCATCAGGGGGCCCCGTCAGCGATCCCTGCAGGGGGGCCTCCGCATTTTGCGCTACGCCACTGGGGCAAACTTTTCAAGATGGGTGGTGACAATGGTGGCCATTTTGAAGTCGGGTCATTTAACACATCAAACTTATTGGGGATGTCACAAGAAAAAAAGTGTGTGCATGGTTTTAATGTAACTTAAATCTTTCATGAGTTATCAACAAGTTTCTAACTACTTATAAAATGTGTTCAATGTGCTGCCCATTGCGCTGGATTGTCAATGCAACCCTCTTCTCCCATTCCTCACACACTGATAGCAACAACAAAGGAGAAATGCCAGCACAGGTTTCCAGTATCCGTAGTTTCAGGTGATGTGATTTATTGTGACTAATTTAAATTCATCAGTTTATTTTTTAAAAGCTATTTAATTAAAATGTATCTAGTGTTACATTTTCAAGAAAGTAACTCAAATATTATTACTTAATTTATAAAAGCAATGCGTTACTTGTTACTTAGAAAAGCAATATTATTATGTAAATCAAGTTACTTGTACTGTGTAACCCCCAACGAAGGGGATTACTATAGTAGGTGCATGTAACGTGTGTAACTATGTCATCATAAATTAACGTGTTGCCCATTTTTTATTCATTAATTTTTTTATTTTTTTTTACAATATTTATTTTTCTTACTGTAAGTGAGCAAACTATTGCAGAATCACCTGCTGTGAAACAGGGTTCAGGATATGCTTCTTCCTCGAGTACCAACTCCAGGGCGTCTTCTCCATCTTTGCCGAGTGGTCTGAGGTCGACTGTGCTTCCCTCTGAGAAGCTGGACGCCACGTCAGACAGTTTCTACAGGAGCACACACGCACACACACACACACAGCACATATTACTATAGCAACACCTCCACATGGAGGAGAGCAGATGATAGAAGTGCAAACGCTTTCTGAAGAACAGATATTTGAGCTGAGTCACTAAGCAAAGCGAAATTATAACCAGTTTATTTTTTCTCTCCAATATTGATAAGAAATAATTTTCGAATATATGACTGGATTAATATTACAAGAACATATCATGACAGAGTTATTGAAGTAACATGTATCAGACCCCCTTCGATTGTTGAATCCAACGCAAAATAAACAAAGTCGAAATTTTTTGCAATCCTGCAATTTAAACGCAAAATAATTGCAAAAAATATAAATAATCTCATAAAACATCAAATACCAGACCATATAATCAAACCATATTGATTTCAGTTTGCAATAGATGTTGCATACGCAATGCACGTGATGTATTTGAGTGTCTCTCGAAAAATGACGTCTCATCTGCGCCCTCAAAATCATTACATTACATTACATTACATGTAGAAGGGGGGATGTTTTGCAGCCTGTGCAGTAAGCAGATGAAGAGTGAGTGATTTATATGAAGTCAATGCAAAGATGTGATTAGACATTCTGTGGTGCGAATGGTGCGTTTGACGCTTCAGACTGCAAAAGAAAGTGGGAAACATCTAACAAACGGAGCAATGGAACTGACAGAAAAGCAAGCAGCTTACAATGATGGAGCTTGATTCAAGGATGACGGCCACTGGACGTGACCAAATTGAATGACATTATTTGTGCTTTACATGTATGGCTGATATTATGATGTTCATGAAATCGATAAATTATTTCATTCAACTCTTTCCCTGCAGTTAACAAGAGAAAACGCTTCCCTGCCATTGCCGAGTTTTATGGCAATCCATGTTTTAGGTGTATTACAGGTAGAGGAAGGCCTAAGGCATGTCCTGAGTGAGGTACATGATGTCAGAAGCTCAGGGGAGAGAAAGTAAGATTGTGAATAAAATAAGTTATACAACCTTCCTTTGGCTTAATCCCAACAGTTTTAGATCTTGTCTTGACAAGAGACTAAATCAAAGAACCTTTGTTTATGATTTGGGTCATTGTGTCAGAATGCATACCTAACATAGTAGGCTACCTAATATGGTAAATATAATATGATATGATATAATATAACGTAACATAATTTAGAATAACATAATATATTATAATATAACATAACATAGCATAATATATTAATATAGTATAATATAATATAATATAATATAATATAATATAATATAATATAATATAATATAATATAATTAATATAATATAATATAATATAATATAATATAATATAATATAATATAATATAATATAATATAATATAATATAATATAATTAATATGTATATATATATTTTTTTAATTGCAAAATTGTCCGCAAATTTTTGGGAATTACCTCATTTTTATAGCAAGAAAAAAAAACTCAAAACAAATCGTGGAAAAACTAGGGGATCTGATATATGATAAAAAGGGAATTACTGAATTAATCATTGAATTAATTATACACTTTATTTGAATGGCTTGGTTAATGAAATGTTTAAAACTACTTAATCATTCAACTTTTCTTTCTCTTCAATATTGATAAGAAATAATGTTTAATATATCATTGGCTCGACAACATTTCCAAGAATATATGATGTGAGAAATATTGAATTAATTACTGAATTAATTACATGCATTTAAATTCATTTGAAAGGCTTGCTTTGTGTAATGCTTAAAGCTAGTTAATGATGCAACATTTAACCCACATTTATGGTGAGAAATCACTTTTGAATATATAATTAATTGGACAATTTTATAAGAACATATCATGTGAGAATAATTAAACACTGAATTAATTACATTTAAACCAATTGATTAGAATGATTTGCTTAGTTTGATGTATCGAATAGTAAAAACTAGTTTGATACTTTTTTGATTAATTAAATTGAATACATTTCCTTTGAATTGCTTGATTACAACTAGTTAATAAAACTAAATTGTATACCAATACTGATATAAAATAATTATGAATACATCACTGAATGCATTTTATAACAATGTATCATGTGAGGATTAACATATTCATTCGTGAATTAATTAAATTTAATTACATTCTATTAAATGTATTGCTTAGTCGGATGTTTATACAGGTTTATCATTGATGATAGATAATTTGTGAATATATCATTAAATACATCTTATAAGAACATATGTTAGTATTAACCCTCTACCGCACACATTATGGCAGATCTATAAAAAACAAATATTTGACTGTTTTTCTTTTCTAAAAATGACTTTACTTGAAGTGCTGTAAAAAAAAAAAATAGGAAAAAATTTTAAAAAATGTATGAAATGTTGCCAAATGTAGAATTTTCCTTATAATTAATAATTGTGTTGTTTGTTTTGATTTAATTGGTGTTGCCGTATTATAAGTTTTAACACAGAACTTTTAAATGACACCTTAAACAAACTTTCCAACAACTGATATTCCCAAAGCTTTCAATTTTTCCATTATTTTTTTCTGGATATTATTGAACACAAACATAGCACTGTATGATTATGTATAAAATATACAGTAGATTTAAATGTTTCCTCCAGTAAATATTATTACAAATTAATAACAAGTCTAATATATCCAGATGCATCAGAATAATGTAGCTACTAGCTAACAATGTGTATACATTATACCTGTCTTATCTGCCTCAGAGCTAACCTACCTGAACTGTCTCCATCACTGCTCTTATCAAATGTCCAATCTACATTATTCTCATGATCACTAAAACCATCTCATCCCCACTTTCATCTGCAGGAAGAGCCAGTTCTGTCCTTTTCTTCTTTCACTTACTGTAGAACATGGTGGTGCTCGCTAACACACTGTTCCCTGTATTCAAATCTATTCAAAAGTAGTATTGCTAATAAAACTAGAATTTATCCATAATGCAAATGCCATTACCACATGACTAATCAACATTATATTACTAGCATTCATGTTGTTATTGTTACAACCTAAAAGTTACACCTGACCTTGCTAGCTAGCTAACCTATTGCAATATTGCACGTTCCACTATTGCAGTGTTAGCAACACATCCATTGGATCCATATACAAAAAACTAATTTGATTAAAAAAATTTGAGTTCACCTCGGAATGATAAGGTTCTATCTGCATTCTGAATGATTTTGAGATATTGAGCTTTAAAGTTTTTGCATTCCATAGCAATCAATATGTGCGTAACATTTGTTTTTAAATAAAAAGTCTTAACATTTAAACAACTTATAAAGAAAAAAAACATCCCATAATGTATTGTAAAAAAGTTGTTATCTAATAAGAATATGTGAATAACTCAATTCTGAGACAAATGTCATAGAAACTTATGATTCTAAGGTGACGATATGTTATCATAACTTACTGGAGGTGATGTCTCAGATTTTTTTGTGGATCTGACATTATTTGATTCTTTGTTTTTACTGACGTTTTCATTCGCATTCAGAAACTATTCAAAATCAACCCCAGTCTGTCAGAAATCGCGCTACAGAAAAACACTGCATGTCATGTGACTTAACCAATGCACATCATTGGCTACACTAAGGTCTTCTCTTTCCAAAAAATACATAAGAACGATGGTCTTAAAGAAACAGTGGAAGGAAAAATTAATATAATTTTTTTTGTGCAGTTTACAAAAATATAGACCACAATATCAATCATTTACACTTTTTTTGACAATAACTAAGAGTAAACAAGATCAATCAAAAACCCTCAGTCCCCCATTCCATCCCCAAGGAGGAGAAAAAAAAACATTAGCACCTACAAGAATTGTCAAAGCAACTACATAAATATACATAAAATATAAATACCACACACACACATTAATAAAAAGAGCAGAGATCTTTCTTAAAAGAAAAAAAAAATCTTATAAATCAGCGAAGAGGTGTGTTGTATTCCTGAAACAATTAATTAGAGGATCCCAGTTTTTATAAAAAAATTTCAGTGGAACCTCTTGGTGTAAACTTAATTTTTTCAATATGTATAAAAGACATCAAATCTTCTAACCAAGAGACAGTGGAAGGAGGGTTAGAACAGGGGTTCCCAAACTTTCAGCACGCGACTCCCAAAATAACAATGCCAGTGACTCGCGACCCCCAATATCTTCTGAGGCGGTTATAAATACAGAAACCTTGCATGCAATGGCGCACACACACACACCAATAGACCCAAGTCTTTTCAATGCTTAATTTTTTTTATGTATGTCAGTGTTGTAAATGTGCCAGAAAGTTTAACCTGAAGTTATAAAATGAATCTGCTGCATCTGATGCTTTTGCTGTCTTTAATATAATGTCATTACCCCACGGGTCACAATACAATAGAACTAGTAACTATAAGCTACTATAGTAACTATATACAGTAGTATATAGTAACTGTAAATGACTATTTTTTCAGTAGGTTATGGATAAAATATGGTAATTCTTATGGTTTAATAAAAATAAATAGATTTTTGGAAATCATCAGGTGACCCCCTTTATTGTCCCACGACCCCTCGGGGGGTCCCGACCCCCACTTTGAGAACCACTGGTTTAGAAGACTTCGAGTGTAATAAAATCGGTCTATCAGTGATTCAAATCCTAGAACATTAGCATTCTTATTTAAAAGGTTGTCCAACAAAGCCGAAACACCAAAAATAGCAATCAAGGGGCATGGTTCAAGAGAAATGTTGAAAATTGTAGAAAAAATATCAAAGAAAGAACAAAAATGTTTTAACTTTGGACAAGAAAAAAACATGCGGGTATGATCAGCAGGAGCCAGAGACCACCTATTACAATAAACATCCACCCCCGGAATCTTACTTAAATTCGTTAGGTGAATTCTATGGAGAACCTTAAAGAAATGAACATAAATATCATGTTGCCATATGGCAAAACCATGCGGTAGAGGGTTAAATCATTCACTGAATTGATTCAATATAATGCAATAATTTTTGGCTCACTA